AGAGCTAACGACAAAAACGTCTCTTGCTCAGTTGAAGGTATTGGAATGCATGCCTGAGCCGCTCTCTGCTCTGGCAAACTCACAAACACTCGATTAAGGCACCAGAAGCCGATATCCTCCTCCTTCGTATAAGAAAAAAAAAGTGTGAGGAAGGCTCTTACTTGACAATCGCGGCTTCCAGAGCTCACAAAAGCTCAGTCAAGTGTCTCCCTCCTTCCTCTCAGGTTCAGTTAAAGCTAATCTCCTCAACCTTTTGCTGTTTATTTTTCTTCTTCTTTTCATTCTACCTTTTTTTCTCAAATAAGACGGAAAATCACTCATTTTTAACTCCCCAAAGGGCTGTGGATTTACGAATTTGCAAGTGTCATAAACAAGGAATTTTTTTTAAAGTTAATTAAACTTTATAATAACAATTACTATTACATTTTTTACTTCAGCTTTACTCTTACTAAAATATAGGATAGTGACTTTAAAATCACCGAATTTCAATCACTTTAGGTTAAACCCAAAACTAGCCGGCTAAAACTTTTCTGGATTTGAATATAAATAAATTTTTTGTGGGATCAATACACATACCTAAATTTGTATATTACGTGATTGTCGGTGCTTCACAGCATTCAGATATATTAGCGATCAAGTCAATAAAAGGGGTGAACGTTTTAGATTTATTGGGTTTATTGTTCAACGTGGTCGTGATCTATGTTATTAGTAAAACTCAAGTTGGATGGTCGAAATGGAGGAATGAGTTGGGCCTATTGTGCGATAAAAAAGTATTCCTTACACTAAAAAGAAAATTTTAGAAGATGGTGGTGATACATGCAATGTTTTATGCGTGGGATTTAGGCCTACAAAAAATGAAGTACAAAATTAAGTTAAATGTTGCTGAAATGAGAATCCTCAAGTGGATGAGTGGCTTTATGAGATGGTGGTGGAAGCTTATGTCATTCGGAGGGACGGTGATGTTGGAGTTAGAGTGGATCTACAAGATTTTGATGGTCGCATGGATCCAAACGAGTTTATTGAATGGCTGCAGACGGTGAAATCAGTCTTTAAGTACAAGAATATTCCAAATGACAAAATGGTAAAATTGATTGCCATCAAGCTAAAGAAAAGTGTCTTTATAATGGGAAATTTTGAAAAGCCTAAACCAGCATGAGTAAAAAAACAAATAACTACTTGGTCCAAAATAAAAAGGAAAATGCAACGCAAGTATCTACCATCACATCACACATGATGTGTCCTTGATGTTTTCTCCCTTACTGTAGAAATAAAAAAACAAATAACTACTTGGTCCAAAATAAAAAGAAAAATGCAACGCAAGTATCTACCATCACATCACAGGCATGATGTGTCCTTGATGCTTTCTCCCTTACTGTAGAAAGATCTTTCAGTAGAAGAATAAGCCTAGCTTAAGTTGAAGTTTGAACAAGTGGTTCCCAAGGAGAACACCACAGCTCGATATCACAAGGGTTTGAGATCGCCTATTGACAACGTGGTATAATTTTAGCCAAATTGGACATTACAAGATATGCAAACCCTAGCCCTGAAGGTGGAGAAACAACATCATAGTATCAGATTTACACCACCCTTCAAACACAATTCAAACTCGAGATCAGGCAATTAGAGTACACAGTGGAGCATCCCAGCCTACCTCGCTAGAAGAAAAATCACTTCATAGTAGAGATAAGGTGGAGACTTCTAGCATTCCAAAATCTGTATCAACTAAAAAAAAGTTTCAAGTGTCATGATTTGGGCACATTGCATTAGATAGCCCAAACAAGAGAATGATATATTTAACTGAGCAATGCGCAGTTGAGAAAGTAAAAGATTAAAAGTTAGAAGAGCAAAATGAAGAAGAGGACCAGTTACCTAAAAACAAGAGAGAGATGCTTGTAATCTAAGTGGTCAATAAGGTTGATCTCACAAGAGAGCATTAGTAGCTCCACCACAATATATTTCAAACCCGTTGCACACCGTGAAGAGAAAAGTGTGCAGCCTCATTATAGATGAAGGCAGTTGTGAAAATGTGGCATCTCCACAGCTTGTGGACAGATTGTCTCGCTACTCAGAAGTATTCTCAGTCATATTCCCTGAACTGGTTGAAGGGGAGTACCATCAGTGTTGACAAGAGATGTCTCGTGAATTTTTCTATAAGTTTCATGTGATTTTGTGCCTATGGACATGTCTCACTTTCTTTTAGGCCAATTGTGGCAATATGATAGAGGTGTACACTTCACAATGGCCGCAAAAACACCTACAAACTTATCAAGGATGAAAAGGATGGTAAACTTCTGATATTGAAAGAATAAATTGTGATGGGTACTCCAACAGAGATGAACTTTAGGAGTCTAACCCACATTTTACAGGTTATGTGAGACACTAGTAAAACTAACCTTAGTGATGCTAGAAGAAACTAATATGAAAAAGATGATATCTGAAGCAATGCAACCCTCACAAGAGTTTCAAAATTCTATAAGTTTTAGTTTACCCCCTAAGATGTCATCATTAAGAGCAGTCATGCATGCCATCACTTCAGATATAAATGAGAAGTTTTTTAGCAATTTTCAGAAAACCCTATGGAATAAGCTAGGCGTTAAACTTTGAGATTAGTTTAGCAGTGCACCTACGAACAGATGGTCGGACTAAAGAGTGGTGAACTGCCACTTCAGCAAGCTTCATCAAGGCTTTGTGGGAAAGAACATTCGAGAGTGAGATCCAAGTCCTTCCAGAGAAGAAGAAGAAGAAGCATCTCCTACCTGGGATTTCAAGTGTCATGATTTGGGCACATTGCATTAGATTGCCCAAACAAGAGAATGATATATTTAACTGAGCAGTGCGCAGTCGAGAAAGTAAAAGATTAAAACTTAGAAGAGCAAAATGAAGAAGAGGACCAGTTACCTAAAAACAAGAGAGAGATGCTTGTAATCTAAGTGGTCAATAAGGTTGATCTCACAAGAGAGCATTAGTAGCTCCACCACAATATATTTCAAACCCGTTGCACACCGTGAAGAGAAAAGTGTGCAGCCTCATTATAGATGAAGGCAGTTGTGAAAATGTGGCATCTCCACAGCTTGTGGACAGATTGTCTCGCTACTCAGAAGTATTCTCAGTCATATTCCCTGAACTGGTTGAAGGGGAGTACCATCAGTGTTGACAAGAGATGTCTCGTGAAATTTTCTATAAGTTTCATGTGATTTCGTGCCTATGGACATGTCTCACTTTCTTTTAGGCCAATTGTGGCAATATGATAGAGGTGTACACTTCACAATGGCCGCAAAAACACCTACAAACTTATCAAGGATGAAAAGGATGGTAAACTTCTGATATTGAAAGAATAAATTGTGATGGGTACTCCAACAGAGATGAACTTTAGGAGTCTAACCCACATTTTACAGGTTATGTGAGACACTAGTAAAACTAACCTTAGTGATGCTAGAAGAAACTAATATGAAAAAGATGATATCTGAAGCAATGCAACCCTCACAAGAGTTTCAAAATTCTATAAGTTTTAGTTTACCCCCTAAGATGTCATCATTAAGAGCAGTCATGCATGCCATCACTTCAGATATAAATGAGAAGTTTTTTAGCAATTTTCAGAAAACCCTATGGAATAAGCTAGGCGTTAAACTTTGAGATTAGTTTAGCAGTGCACCTACGAACAGATGGTCGGACTAAAGAGTGGTGAACTGCCACTTCAACAAGCTTCATCAGGGCTTTGTGGGAAAGAACATTCGAGAGTGAGATCTAAGTCCTTCCAGAGAAGAAGAAAAAGCATCTCCTACCTGGGTGGGAAAAAAAGGCACGGGAGCTTCTTATCGCACGCAGTATCGCGAGATTGTTATAGCTCTGATTGCAAGAGATAGGGCCGAGAGATCCCTTTTTTTTTCCCCTTGTTTTCTACAAGTTTCCTTCTTTCATTTTCTTCCTTTCTAGACCATTTCTTTTTTCTTATTTTCCAATTAGGATTTTTTCTATTGGGAGACTATATGTGGTGTAATTGTGTTTTGAGTCTTATATTTCGCTGACTTCATATATTTTGGAAGAGTGTTGCATCCATGAATTTTCTTTCAGGTGCTGTGTTTGTAGCTTGATAGGAACAAGGTGGTGATTCTCCCGGATGTTTGGCGGCCTACTTCGTCATCTAACGTGCTAAAAACGGATATTCACAGCAGGAAACCCACAGTTTACCGTTCCGGCTTGCTGTCCAGTCACCCATAACTTGCTGATTCGTCATTTGGCTGTTGTTTTCAGTTCAGACAGCCGTCAAACACACCCCAACTGCTGTCCCACTGCATCATTCACTTTTTACAGTCTTCCCAACACCTTCACCAGCTGTTTACAACCAGCAATCGATGCTTTTCTGCTTCCGGTTCACTGTCTTGTCGTCGTTAACACAGTTTTCAGCCACCATCCATCCTTCCACTCACATAATCTATCCTATAACTTTCTAACACCTTTTTGGGTTCCATCACACCGTTTACGAGCTCAAAAAAGGTGTCAGTAAGAGAGAGATTAGCTTTCTAACACCTTTTTGGGTTCCATCACACCGTTTAGGAGCTCAAAAAAGGTGTCAGTAAGAGAGAGAAAAGCCCCTGGTTTAGAGGAGAGAGGAGTAGAGAGAATAGAGGACTGAATCTTTTAATTTTCATTCATAATTAATTTGAAATACATTCAACTTATTTTTATAAAAATAGGGTTACAAGATAAATCTGAAATAAAGTTGAAGTTATATCCAGATAAATTCTAAAGCCTCAATCTAACTAAAAATAAAAACGATTTTAACATTAAACAAAATAAAATAAAATAAGTATTCCAATATATAACAAAATATTATGGCATTCTAAAAGTATTCAAAATTTATTTTAATGTATTTCTTGTGTTGCATTAATATTGTATAAATATACGCAAAAAATTCGTGATGAAACATGCTGTGTGCACATAAAACCCATAACAAAATGATATAAATGGCCTAAAACAAGAAAGAAGAAATTTTTACTCACAGCACCGAGTCTTCCCAAAGCTAGTGCACTTCGATATATTATCTCAATGGCATCGGGCATTTCTGTAGCTTCTGTGGGACAATAAAACTACGCATAAGCAATGCAATCTTAAGAAAATGTGATCTTCAATACTGACAACGAAATAGTAGAAGTCATACCATCTAGTTGTCCCACACCCTTTTCAAGTTCTTCAGCATGCTCTACTGAAAGAAGAAATTCCCTCTCGATATTGGAAGAAAGAGAATCCGGTACTTGAGACCCACTGCTTATAAGGCAGTGTCTAGTACCAGGAGAAGCATTTGTGATATCTTGGGATTTGCACCCAAGAGAAGAACAACCTTCTATAGCAGCATGCGTGTGACAGATGTTCAGAGCTTGCTTCCAAATTGCAAGAAGTACCAATTGAACAGAGAATGCTTCCAGTTGTCTCCCATTTTCACTCTGCAAGTTGTGTTTTAAAATCATGGTTCCAACATAAAGAACAAATTAAACAGCAAAGATTGACATGAATTAAGAAATAAACAAAGAAAAGCATATCATAAAAACTTCAAGTACAAGGCAACATAAATGTGTGAACCTATGAGCCCATGTGACTAACGCCACATCCCTATGATGTCATCTAAGAGTTTGCCAAGTATTTCTATAGATTAATAATGCATTAGCTAAATCATGGAGAAGATGGCTTTCCAATAGGCATTTGGAGCATTTCAAACTTAAAGTTGAGTTATAAATGATAAGTAATTAAATGTAGATGCACATTTCAAAAATATAAGCACGCACAATAATTTATTTCATGTAAGTTTTCACTTTGAAGCTACCATCAAAGTATAGGAGCACTTGAGAACAAGGTATCCTATAGAGTTTACTAAGAATTGGCTTAGAGAGGCAGTTCCACATAATGAATGTGAGGATATAATTCCTCTAATTGAAGGTACGCTTCTCCTTTAAGGAAGAAACAATTATGTTTTCTCAACCGCACAAGAAGTGGCGTGATTACTTGGATAGAGTGGAATCTCAAGTATGAAGAGTACTTAGTCATAGATGAAGGCTATTGGGTAGAACAATCGTGTAAAGTTTTATAGAATAGTTTTACTTGCAAATTTACTTTTTGATAATTATACTTGAATAGTATGTTGATTAAAAATAATATTAATATTGCCTTGATCGTGCTTTTTTTAATCATGCTTCAAGTAAATTATTTCAATTTGTACCAATGATTATAAACTTGCATTTTTGGCATAGATTCACTTGTATTAAAACAATCCATTTGAAGGCACTTGTATTTCAGCATATGATAAGATTAATCTTATAAACTAGTGTAGTTACCTTCCAAAAAAAACTAGTGTAGTTAATCATCTTGTCTAACTGTGTTTGAAATTCAATCATTCACTATTACCTTAATCATTCATTGTTGACACAATTGCTTAATACTTCTATTACATTCCAAAAATCAACTTAGTTGATGCTATTTGGTTGAGTATCACACTCTTCATGTTGTACCGAAGATTGATAACTAAACTTAAAAGAAATCAAGTCTTGTTTTATTTGTTACCAAAACGAGTATATAGTAGTGTATTTTTAGTTAATGTATCCTTAATGAATTATTAGCTTACACACATGAGCTTCATTGTTGCATTTATTACTATTAACTTTTGCATTGAACTTGTGTGAAATTTGAATTGGGTAGATTTTCTCAAAGTAGTTTTAGAGTGTAAGAAAACTGCACAGATAGTTCCTGAACATAGGTACTCGAAATGATTAAAAATATACAGGAATCCCTAGAACCTTGTTAATATTAGACGATTAGTAATTGAAAAAGATAGTGATCGTAAAAAATAGAATCAAATATGCCAGTATTTAGGGAGCGAGCACATGGAGTTTTGCCAGGTTAGATAGACCATTCCCCATCCTGCAGGGATAAACGCCACAGAAATCATAAAACTAGAAACTCAGGAATTTAAATGTACGCAGAACAAAGCTCTTGACTGAACTGTTCAGTTACAAGGTGAGCAGAGTAAAAAGAATAGCTTGTTTTACACCTTATCCAAATGCCTGCAATATTTTAATTATTGTACAGCTACAAATTAATATCTGTCAAAGCACGGTCACATATACTCAATATATAAAAATTTATAATTTGAGAATTTCTGATGCATCAATTAATGGATTTGGACTTTTATGCAACAAATATCAAATTTGGCTCCACCATGGATCGTACCTCTCCCTTCACCAACTCAGATATAACAGAGCAGCATTGCTGCAATGATCTAATCCTTGTAATGCAGTGAACTGATGGCTGCTCAATAGCATCCCCAATATCGAAGGATCCTTGGGAAGTACCGGAAACTGATGAGTTGCGACTTTCCAGGCTTCCAATGGTGTGGATCTTAGTGATTGCAGCACCTACAATTGGCACTGGTGCACTTAATCCAAAATTTTTTTTAGTTTCCATCGGCGAGCTACCTGGTTTGCATGGTGGGAATTGTGACTCTGGGAAACTTAATGAAGAGGATGGCATCTCCAAGGCGTGTCCGGAAACAATAACATATTCCTGATCAACCAAGTCTAATGGATCCAGAATTGTGTGATCTAAGCATGCGCAAAAGAAAATGTAAGTAAAATTCATATAAAAAAAAGTTGATTACATGCAAACAAGCAAAGAATTATACCATGTTTGATGCTTTCTATCGAAACATTTGTTTGCTTCATATTTCCACTTAACTCTCTGTAAGATTTATGCCCATGATAAAAAGATTTTTCCATTTTATTTGGTAAGCTATGCTTGGAGAGAATGCCAAGATTCTTTGGTGTGTTACTAGAAGAATCTTTATTTTCTCCCACATGAAAACCATAAGTAGACCTAACTGATCTACTCATGTGTGCTGAAAAGCTTTGATCAGGTCCACCAGATTCATCTTCTAGAGGAAAAGGCATGCAGTCTTCCTGAAAGCTCAGTGTCTGTCTAGGAATGCATTCAGATGAAGTAACACATGCAGTTCTGCTGCTCAGAATAAGCAAAAAATTAATTTTACTTAAAAGAAAAACCAAAACGTATGAATCAAGAAAATGTGTCAAACCACCAAACCAAGATGATTACCTCAACGATTCATCTAGCTTGGATTCTGAGAGAAATTGGTGGTTGAAAAACTCCTCAAAAGTTAATCGCTCCACTGGATTTTATTTGACTCGGTAAGTTAAGGATGGCACAAAATTCAAGGTAATATGCTGACTCATCCATATCAGGTTCCAGCATAACTAAAAATTGCATATGATTGAGCAAACATATACATTAGTAGCGATTTGATATTTCTGACATTAGTATCGATCTTCTTAGCTTCACTCTCTTAATAATCAATATTAAATCTAGATTTAATCCAATCTTCACTAACAAACGTACACCTTAATTTTTTCTGCTTATGTATAGTAACAAGAGTAAAAAATGAAATTAGAAAAAAAGGGATGTCTTGCCTCACCAATTTCACATAAATGATTTTTTTTTTAAATCACGTTAATAATTAGTTTATAACCGTACATGTAACCAATTAACTCCAAAAATTTCTTGATAGAATTTTTCACTTCAGTCATATTATCAATATCTTTTAACATCAGATCAATACGGTTGGCTATGCATGATATCCAGTAGACATATATCCTCTTCTTGTAAACATTTGACCAAAATAAACAAAAAACATGTTGACCATCTACTTTAATAAAGCATAAATTGTATACATTACATAATAAATATCATAAATTATTGACCTGCAAGAATATAACAAATGTAGTTATGTGTAACCACTTGAAGCACATTCATTTCTCCAACTTTTGCTATTTGTAAACTACAAGTTCAAAAAGTATCATCGTAATTTATTAACATTTAGGTCATTTAATGACCCTATGAATACAATACTTGATGGTGAACTAACCAAAAATTAATTATAGACTACTCTCTGAACTAACCAAAAAATAATTATAGACTACTCTCTATGATCAGTACACACATAAGAATTCATTCCTTCTTTTGCCAACTTTTTTTTTATAATCCCCCACGTTCTTCATAGTTGTCTATATTTCTTTTAAAAAAAAAAAAGAACTCTCAACTAAAAATAAGATTATGGTCGAAGACTTTATCCATAATGCACATTTATCTCTCAACATAATGATCCAAACTCCAACCACGTCACATTAAAAAGGATTCATGATTGATAAATTCACTTGGTTAATGTATTGTAAATTCTACCTATAAGCTCCTTTATATTTCTTTAATTCTCATTTGTCTCATTTTTTTTCCTTCTTCTTGTAACTTCTTGTTAAGATTCTTTAAAAAGAAAATGATTCAATGAACATTTTATTAATATTTCCTAGTCCAAAAGCTATTTCAAAGACTTTTACTACAGTGCAAGGCTGATTCTTCGGTTAGATCAATCACACTCTCAAAATCTTTTAACATGTAAACTCTGTTTGAAATTATTTACCACTCAAAAAATAAGCAGCTCACTTCTTACAATGAAAAATAATTTCTTAGACTTAGTAATATGATTTATTTTAGATGCATCAGAAAGGCTAATAAGACTCTCTTTGGCTTGAGATCTACCAAAATTATTCTTTTTACTATGATAAATATGTGGCAAAGAGTGCTCTACTTAAATTTCAACTTCAAGTATTTCCAAATTCAGTCTTTTCTCTTAGAATTTAAATGGCCATAACTAACATTTTTTGCATATATAAAATTACTATTACTCACAAGTACGAGTTGATGACCAATTTTCACATAAGTAAAGTTAGTTATTCAATTTCTTAATTAATATTACTATATTGAAACTAAATGCATATATTTAAATTATAAAATAAAAAATATTTATATTTTCTCCTATTCCACCAATGCAAAAATAAACTAAACAGCAAGAGATTAAAAAAATCATCCATCTATATAAATTCTTTTATCAAATTAAAAGTTCTAAATTCTTTATCAAATTAAATGTTACAAATATTTTTGAATAATGGAGATCGAATTAAGAAACAAATAGATAAGATTAAAGAATATTTTGACCAAGTTTCCATCAAAATAAATATTTTAAATCAATCCAAATTTTTAAATAAATTTATTCAACGTGTTTAAAAATATTTTTTTAAATATCAAAGAAAAATCTCTCAAAATAAATATTTTAAATCAATCCAAATTTTTAAAATATCAAAGAAAAATCTCACATTAAATTGAAGAATAAAAATATAAAAAGACATGCATTAAAAACATATAAAACAGAAAGAGTGGGGGTTGAGCATGAGTGTTCACTCAATGTCAACATCTGTGAGCTCAATTGAAAAAAAGGATTTAGGGTTGAATGCATCTTTATTTGCTCCTTCACACGGTCAAAGTTGAGATTAAATATAACCCTTTAGATCTGCAAAACAAAACCTACTAGGTTGAATAGAATGCCAGAGTTGGTGGCCTTAAAAATTTATATGATCAAACCCTTCTAAACCACCTAAGCAATGCTTTGTTATGTTGTTTCGATTCATCAACCCGATTCCGCTCAGCTCTGATACACTGCTTCCACTTTTAAGCATAGAAAATCACTTCTCACACAAAACAGGCGCTTAAGACATAGTTGTCGCACAACTATAAGGAGAGGTGAACTATTGGCACTTCACATCGCTTCAAATGAGAGGTGTGCTTTTGATATCATTGGTTTTAACAACACTACAGTTGTAAGGTTGATTATCAATTTAAAGTGTTTATTTATGCAACGTATGTTCACTTTCATAGGTTTCATAATTTATAATTGGATTTCAAAATATCACATTAAGGTTAATGTAATCTTGAATACACCTCAATATTAAATAACAACCAATGTGCAATTTCCACGATTAACCACCCAAAGATTCATCAAGGAGTTTTACTATTATGGTTCCATTGATAAATATATTGCAAAAATGCTAGGTTTCATTAGTAACTTTCTGCACTGGAAGAATTTGACACTACTAGAAATTGATGATTGCCACTCCAAATTTTTAATCACCTGATTTCTCGAAAGCTTTTGACGTATACTACAACTACAAAGCCTCTAGAATTTGCATTGGCTGTGTCCTAAGCTAACATAATTATCCAACAACATTCTACAAAGTAAAAATACATTATCTAGGATCATGAATTTTATACATCAATAGTCATGTAGACACTAAGTCTTCAATTCACAGCAATTTGTGTTGCAATAAATCCTCAGAATATCTGTAATTAGAAATAAATAACTTTTGGCAAACAAAATAATTGCATATCTAAATGTGTTCACTTCTATAATCACATAAAGCAAGTTATAATGGCAGTTCGCTAATATCTTGGAGTGGCATGCTTTTTTATGTTAATATACCTTTGATGTGTTGAAGAATAAACATGTTTATGTCTATAGTGAGTGTTTCATCTAAAGTTGAAGCAATGCTCGTTCTTCATCATGTGACTCATTCATTTAGGAATTATATGTTAGTGGACCTGCAAAGGGTGCTGAATCATTTTCGGATTGCCAATTTCAAGAGATTTTATGTTGATGTTAATCACTTTAGCAGCCCACTAGCTTTAAGGAAATTTACATGAGCTACTTTTCAATATAATTTCTTCTTTAAAGTAATAATCATTGATCTAAGCAAGTATATAATCGAAGAAGTCTAATATTTCAATGATGTTATAGTTACAAGAAAATTATTGAATTTATCATTTTGTCATAAAACTGGCTCAACACAAGCTGTCGTTTGTTTTTTATTTTAAACAAAAATTCATATGAATACCAAATATATTTTTTTTTTTTAAATATAAAAAAATCATAAGATTACCAAACATAATTTTATTTTATGTTAAAATATATATATATAAAAAACAATACGAAAGTCAAGTTGAACATAAAAAACGGCCGACACAACAACAAGTTGATTTTTTGGTGGTGGCGGTGAAGTTATCCCAAACGCCCCCTAAGTTTATAGCAACAACAAGTTGATTTTTTGGTGGCGGCGGTGGGGTGTGCAGAGGGTTGTCTTCAGTTAGCTTGGACCCTGGTCTATTAAACTTAAAATTGTCAGGGTTTCATTGTCTAAAAGAAGCTTGTAAAATAGGGTAAAAAGGTCTATGAAAATAATTTTAAACTGATTTAAGACATAAAATTTTGTGCCATATCATGTACACCATGGTTTATCATTCATAAGACTTAGGTTGTAGGAAAAATTGAAAATATTCGTTGTGACCATAATTTTATAGCATCATTTTGTGGTGAATTATTTGATCATAGGGCTTTGATCACATTTGTATATTTTGTGATGCCATTTTACATTAAAACCATTAAAAGAGGGCATGTAATGTTCTTACTAGTATGAGATCTTGAGAAGTGATCATAAAACTATGTTCAATAGGAAATTAACTTTTAATAAGTTTAGATAATGCAAAATATCACGTTGAACAAACAATTGTTACACATGTACATGTTATTACTTTAAGCTTAGGCTAGTAATATTTTATATGGACGTCCTTAGATTGTACATTTTTTACGAAGTTTGATCAGGATTTAAGCTTTAAAATGACTTGCATCAAGATTTAGGAGTATTTTGAATGATTATCTCCAATTGACATTGTTTATCATCAATGCCATCACTGAAGCATTTAATTAAAAATTTGATTGCATCTCACATTGAGCATTCAAATTCATTTTATTTTGAAATTATCTTTTTTCGTTTTGTATATTTATAATAAAAATATTTCTTGTATTTTCGAAATTCACTTAATCTTTATTTTGCAACCTGCCAGTTATCTACTCGCACTTGGAGGGAATCTATTCAGAGTTTAGGCCTACTCTTATTATGCCAAAAAAAAAAAAAATGTGTATGTGTGGTATTAGGACACTAAAGTTGAGTCTTATACCCCAACATGCCAAAAAAAGATGTGCAGTTATTTTAATTTTCCGAAAAGACTTTGTGCCAAATTGAGAAAGGTATGCACATGTACTTATTTTGGCAGTGATCTACCCCAATATATCTTCATTCCCTAACATACTAAGAAAATGTATATGGATCTTCTCTCCACAGTACCAAGAAATAACAATATGAGTAACCTTCAAGAAAAATAGCATGCATAAATTTTCCTTGCCATGTCAAAATGACATCCACAATACATAAATGTAAAAATGAGCCTACTTTGCATTATACCTTGTGTGTGCATCTGTGATATCAATGGTAAGAAAAAATTGAAACACAACTTCTTTTTCTTTTCAATCTTTTTTTTTTCTTTATTTATGAAGAGAGAGTAAGATAGAAGGAAAGAGAGAGAAGGAAGTGGGTTAACGTAATATCCAAGAGTACAACATATGCATGAATCAACCACAATGCTCTCCCATCTATCAAAAGGTATTTTTAAGCTAATTTGTTCTTTGGATTATTTCATAAGTAGTTTGTCAAAAAAATAAGAATATCCTTTAAAAATCGATAAGTTAAAAGTCTAACATACAAACTTTAAGTAATTTTTATGAACCCATTATAATAGTTATTTACATAACAACTTCACAATATTATAGAGTAAAATGAACTCTAATTAATCTAATTGTTCTTAATTTCTATCAGAACCATAAATACGAGAACAAAAGGTTAATTGTTTAATTAAATTCCTTAAAACCTTTAAACCACTTTCCCCAGATGTCCTAGATATGATAAATTATTTATGTTTAATTTTTCATTTTTTTTAGATCTCAAGATATAAAAGAATTTATATAAAGTTTGCGAATAAAATCAAATAATTTTTATAAATGCAAAAATAAAGTTAATTAACTTTTATAAAAAGCCATCACCTCTAGATTCTTCATAAGCAAGCCTTTTCTCCTTCTTTTTTCCAAACCGTGACAAGTTAAAAAGGATTAAGAGTAGAAAGTGAAGGGAGATAAAAGAGAGTTTTGGTATTGGTGGTCCCAATTTTTATTTTGTTCAACGAACAAATTGAGAAATTTGACACTTTTGAGGTAAGCTACCATTAACCTACCTCCGATTTCAGTGAGTTTGCTCTTTCATATTTTCCCGAATTTTATTTGTTCCAAAATTGCAAAAATTATGATATCCTTGTATTTTAAAAACTTTCGCCGTGCAACATTTAATAAGTTATTGTCTTAATTATTATGCAAATCTTAGTATAATTATATTAAATTTTCATCAAGTATTTCTTAATTTTTAGACATTAATTTAATCGTCTAAAATTATTACAAAATTTGATAAAAAAATATTTAATTATGATTTGCTAGCAAAAAATACTTGGGCTTATTGTCTAAAAAATGATCTTATAAAAAATGATCTTACATCTTACTTTATTAGAATTAAATTAAAATATGACACTCAATAGGGCACAATGGAGAAAAATGATTCATATAGTTGATCCCACTTAGTACGATAAAGCTTTGTTATTGTTATTGTTGTTTCTTAGGCATGACATTTGCTAATTATAAACAAGAAATTCAATGGTGTGGTATAGAAATGTTAACATCATCATCATGAGCATTCTCCCAACTATTTGAATCAACTAAGAATCATCACTTTTGATAAATTATTGTTAAATATTAAATAAGATATTAGTTTTACTTTGCTCGAATCCTTTTGCACAATTTCTAGTGAAGTTACATTTCAATTTACACTTTTAATAACAAACCTATTCAATTAATTTCATCTACCAGTTTTTATTAGTGCATTTCCTATCCTTCAATGAATAGAATTAACAACTATTTTCCACTATTCTACTCTCAATCAATTCTACCTCCGCCTTCCCTGTAACATAATGCATATACCGCATAGGATAGTGGGGACTGATTTATGTATAAGTGGGCTAGAGATTTAGAAATTATGTGATGGTCTCCTACATAGTTCACCAGGATAACAATACAAGATATATTTACATCTGTTCTACACATATTTTTGAAGCATCAAAGCATGGGCAGTCATTCGTAAAGCGCTCACTTCAGCATGATATTCAATAAAACAACTACATCTAACACTGGTTGAACTACTTGTAATCAGAGATGCATACCTGGATTGCGACGTAGTAACCTTTTGCACAAATCAATGCAATAGTCACTAAAAATGCTATCTGGCGGGAAGTGTAGATCATTTGATTTCATTATATTTTGCAGCAGCTAGTAAAGAAAATGATAAACATTTCATAAGTACAATATGCAAGCATTAGTACCACTTAAGTAAATCAAGCAACTTGTACCTGTATCTGAGTGTTCCCAGTAAAAGGAGTTCTGCCTGTGACAAGCTGAAATAAGATCGCCCCAACACTCCAGAGATCTGCCTGCTCTTCCATGAGTGAATAAAAGACAGATATAAGAAAAAAAAAATCAATAGCATATAAATAAAGAAATCAAGGTGTTACCTTGGCATCATATTTCTGAAGCTGCATTATTTCTGGAGCCATGTAAAGTGGGGAGCCACATAAGGTTTCAGCTAGGCCAAGTGGCTGCAAAGACCTGTCATGGCGAAAAGTTATTACAAGAACTTAAAGAAAAAAATTAATACAAATTGCAGAAAGGAGACCGGTGCACAAAGATAAAACAGATGAAATGAGACATGCACCTAACTATGATTTAAAGATATACAATATAGTCTAGAATTTTAGAACAATGCCACATCAGCCACCTCAGCCAAACTTGTGATGTGGAAGAGATGCCTTGATTGCTTTGCATGGTTCTTATAAAAATGCATGATATGAGTTTGGAATCATGGAAGTTATTTCACTTATATTTTTGTAGCAATGCATGATAATGAAACCAGTAGGACCTGATCCATCTCAAATTGTTTTAACTAAAAATTAAAAAAGCTGATAAAAGAAAGAAAGGCGCGTGTTGCATTACAAGATAAAAACTGAAACAAAATTAAACAACCAAAATAATATACTGCACCAAGCCAAATGAAGATATTATCAAGATCATATTGGCATAACTAGATTAAGAAGTGTAATAACATAAAATCAGCATTAGATACGAATTCATAAAAGGCATCCTTACCTTGCAAAGCCAAAATCTGCAATTTTCAGTACTGAATTGTCATCCGTTGTTGACAAAAGGAGATTCTGTCAAACATAACCATAATATCATACAATGTGTGAAGTTCATTGCAAGAAGTCAATTCGAGCATGCTACTACTCATGTAATGCCATTTAGAATTCTTAAATGAATCAAGTTATATCGAGAGCAAAAGTTGCCAACCACATCAATTACTTCAATGCTTATTAGAATATAGACAACTGAGATGAAGTAATACTAACATACATGAGATCATTCATGGCAACTCTAAAGATACAAGGATCATCAACCATAAACGAGAACATCTGAGAAATTAAAAATATAGTATGAATACAAATTCAAAGAATTACTTGAATAATAAAATGATACAATGTTTAATTTATTATCATACATGATAAAATCACAAATTCAATGAATGTTCTTCTGGCACGATATATTTGGTAGGCCAGAAACTTTATAGTTTAGTGTAACTCAAAAAAGAAAAGTTTTGGATTTTACAGTTGGACTGAGTTAAGGAAAAGACAGTTGAGTGACGCTTTGAACAAAAATCAAGCACTCTAAAAAGGCTTCCTTCATTTTGATGTAAAACACTAATTTTATTTATCAAACTCATCTGTTGTAACTTTATCTTCTGCCTTTTCAACAAGAACTTCACATTCTGTTGCAATTCTATCGGTGAGGGAGTGATGCAGTTCCGAGAGAAAAAAAACCTCGGGCAACTTTTTATGTGGTAAAGGCGGCATTAAGATAGCAACATATGATATTTCCACCCCACAAATTCTTCAATGTTGTAAAAGAGAATGCTTGTGCTTGTGTGTTGGGGGGGTGGTTTATATTAAGATGGGGTGGAAACATATGATATTTCCACCCCACAAATTCTTCAATTTTGTAAAAGAGAATGCTTGTGCTTGTGTGTTGTGGGTTTATATTAAGATGGGTTCCCCATCTAATATGAATGATTAGATAGGAATTATATTAAGATGGGTTCCAAAATTCCCTATAGAGGCAATCCAATTTAGTTAATGGTTCCAAATTTCTCCATCTAATATGAATGATTAGATAGGGTTTATATTAAGATGGGTTCCAAAGTTCCCTATAGAGGTAATCCCCTTTAGAAAATTTCTAAATAGGAATTTGTGTGTTGCGGCAAATTAGGTACTACTTCAGTCTTTCTCAACATAAATTGAATCAAAAACATCTACACTCCTAATCGGATCATCAGATGGTGCATGTTTAACGTGACCAAACTATCTCAGACGACTCTCTAATCCTTTCTACCACTGGAGCTACACCAAACCTTTTACAGATACATTTGTTTCACATTTTTTCTCGAAGTGTAAATGTCACTCATCCACCTAAGCATTCTCATCTCAACAACACTTAACGTAGTTTTTTTCTTTTCTTTTATAGGTCAACATTCTATGCCATAAAGCATCGCAAATCTCACAATCTTATAAAATTTTCCTTTATGTTTAAGCGATAATTTTCTATCACACAATAGGCCCAATGTATTTCTCCACTTCAACCATCCAACTTGAATTCTATTGATGACATCCCCATCTATATCAATATCACTTTGAACAATAGACAAGAAAAATCTAAAAAGTTCACTCCTTTTAATGATTTGATCCCATATTGTTACAACTCTGCTAAAATTATTTTCCATATTTTTAGTTTTTGATCTACTCAAACGAAGACCTTTAAACTCTAATGCGAACCCCCATAATTAATATTTTTCCTAAATTCTTTCTCTAGTCTTATCCACAAGAAAAATATCATCTGTGAAAAGCATACTCCAAGGTACATCTTCCTGTAAAATTCCAATAAGAGCATACTCTAAGAGCATACTCTAGTCTTCATCTTTCTATCTTCTCTGAAACACTCTCATGGTACAATTGCAATTGGAGGGGGGTTGGGAAGGCATCAACTGGATCACAACATACAAAGATCTCTAAAACTCTCGTATAACTCCCCTTTCAACTACATTCCCCCCCCCCCCCCCCCCCCTCCCCTCCGTTTTTCTCTCCCTCCCTCCTTACAATATTAAGATGGGGTGGAAACATATGATATTTCCACCCCACAAATTCTTCAATGTTGTAAAAGAGAATGCTTGTGCTTGTGTGTTGGGGGGGTGGTTTATATTAAGATGGGGTGGAAACATATGATATTTCCACCCCACAAATTCTTCAATTTTGTAAAAGAGAATGCTTGTGCTTGTGTGTTGTGGGTTTATATTAAGATGGGTTCCCCATCTAATATGAATGATTAGATAGGGTTTATATTAAGATGGGTTCCAAAGTTCTCTGTAGAGGCAATCCCCTTTAGAAAATTTCTAAATAGGAATTTGTGTGTTGCGGCAAATTAGGTACTACTTCAGTCTTTCTCAACATAAATTGAATCAAAAACATCTACACTCCTAATCGGATCATCAGATGGTGCATGTTTAACGTGACCAGGAATTTGTGTGTTGCGGCAAATTAGGTACTACTTAAGTCTTTCTCAACATAAATTGAATAAAAAACATCTACAGTCCTTATCGGATCATCAGATGGTGCATGTTTAACGTGACCAAACTATCTCAGACGACTCTCTAATCCTTTCTACCACTGGAGCTACACCAAACCTTTTACAGATACATTTGTTTCACATTTTTTCTCGAAGTGTAAATGTCACTCATCCACCTAAGCATTCTCATCTCAACAACACTTAACGTAGTTTTTTTCTTTTCTTTTATAGGTCAACATTCTATGCCATAAAGCATCGCAAATCTCACAATCTTATAAAATTTTCCTTTATGTTTAAGCGGTAATTTTCTATCACACAATAGGCCCAATGTATTTCTCCACTTCAACCATCCAACTTGAATTCTATTGATGACATCCCCATCTATAGCAATATCACTTTGAACAATAGACAAGAAAAATCTAAAAAGTTCACTCCTTTTAATGATTTGATCCCATATTGTTACAACTCTGCTAAAATTATTTTCCATATTTTTAGTTTTTGATCTACTCAAACGAAGACCTTTAAACTCTAATGCGAACCCCCATAATTAATATTTTTCCTAAATTATTTCTCTAGTCTTATCCACAAGAAAAATATCATCTGTGAAAAGCATACTCCAAGATACATCCTCCTGTAAAATTCCAATAAGAGCATACTCTAAGAGCATACTCTAGTCTTCATCTTTCTATCTTCTCTGAAACACTCTCATGGTACAATTGCAATTGGAGGGGGGTTGGGAAGGCATCAACTGGATCACAACATACAAAGATCTCTAAAACTCTCGTATAACTCCCCTTTCAACTACATGACCCTCCTCCTCCTCCTCTCTTCTTTGTGTGTTTTAGCTCTGCTAAATTCCATAAATCTACCTTCCAATTGGATTTAATAAAACCAGGATTCAAGGCAAAATGAAGGAGGAATGGGATTTAAGATCCTTTAAGATTTAAAGTTGTCATTTTTCTGTTTGGTGGAGATTAGGTTAAATTCGAATAGTGTGGCTGAATGGAGAGGAGGTAGAGAGGAAGAAGGGAAAAAAGAGAACTGTTACACGCTCAAAGAGATCCCTCACAACTTTGATCAACAGAAAAAGAAAAAGAATGGCCAAAAATCTCACAAGCTTTCATCAGATTAATCGAACTAGTGTTCAATACATGAAATCTCGAAAGCTAAAAAAACCTAAACCAAGGATCAAAGTAGTCACGTTCAAAATCAGCCAAAAATTGAAGAATAACTAATTATTAACCAAATATTATGTGGGGGTAAACCATAGCTTAAAACTAAGGATATGGCTCTCTTTTGTTGTTTAGTTTGGCTCGCAGTGATGGGTAGGTTGAGCTAACTTGGTAGACTGGTCTATCAAAATTGATGACTCAACATCAACTCCCCTAGGGCACATAACTCTCCCTAGAGAGTTTACAATAATATAAATATAAAGGGGATCACAAGCAAGGTTTTGTGGCACTTTCTTGACACCCATGAGTTATTTGATAGAGATTAATCTCACAATAATCAATAAACTTTCTTCGTATCCATTATAAGGATAACATAAGAAAAAAAAAAGTTCTCAAAATTGAAGCAAGCAAGTGCCGTAGGAAAAATAAGATTAGTATAAAAAACATTTATATGAAGAATTTCTTCTATAGAAAAATTAATCAATAATACTCAACCCTCAAAAGTTCTTCGATAGTGCATAACTTCATTAATGTTAGTATAGGAAATATATGAAAAGAAAAATCTCTAACAGAAGCATTCAAACTAATATTTACACTTGAAAAAAAATCTAGGCCCTTGAATGTAATTTCTTAAACTTGTGTGACGTGTTCGGATTGTGCACTGCAGAAGATATTGCTCCAAATGACAGCTAGTAAATACAGAGACTAAGGAATGCATCACGGTGGTGTTGGCGTAAACATGAAGGAATGATCGTATGGAATCAAAAGTGAACCTATGCAATATTATGCATGTGGAGGTGTATACTCTATGGTATTATACATATGGTATTATATATAATGCATCATTGAAGTTACATTTTTGTGTGATTTGATAGTCAGTTCTTGGTATTCCGGTTCCCTGTCACATGAAATTGTTTCCACCATATGGATTCTAATGAAATTTGCCTCTTCTAGCCTTTATTTCAAATTCTATAATGTTTTATTTTGTGACACTGGCTCTAGGACATCTATTGCGGGATTCTGCAATGTGGTAGAGATAAAAGAAGTGCTGTGATCATGGGATAGGCGAACTAGATGGATTCCCGCCCCGATAATAGCTTCAATTGGGTGGGGGTATTACTTTCCTTTTTTTTTACTGTCACGGGCCCTGTGGACCTTTATTTCCTATTTCTCTATTTCTAATTAGATTTATTTTATATTAGGAACAATTTATACATTTTATATTCTGGTTTAGCAGACTTTTTTACTGTTTTATGTATTTTGGATATTATATTTTATTCTCTAACTTCTGCCCTAAAGAGTGTTACATCCACTTATTTTTGCAAGCAGTGTGTTTGCAGCTTGTTAAGGGACAAGTGGTGTAACCACCA